GAATTKGKATTAGGGAAGGAATCTGTAAGAAATGAATTGAAATCCTAGCATATTGCCATGGAATTGTAAAATCTGTGCGTGAAGGAATCGACTGGAATTGAAAGGATTCCATAGTCTTATTCCATGAACCAAACACTCTATTTGGAATTTGGTCAAAAGGATTGGACATTTCAATTCCTTTCAATTCACATGATCCAAACAGCCCCTAAGTTTCGTATCTATCATCGTATATATGAAAAATATTGTACAATTAATGCTTATAAAAAAATGATATAACTTACAACAAAAGAAAGTGACTCAAGATCCGAAACATTCATTTTATGTAACATCTCACTTAAGAAACTCCAAGTTACCAATTTTATAAAATCTCCAATAAAATAAAATTAATTGATTAACCTCAAAATATGAGATATTAATTTTTATAAAAAAAACTTAGAAATATTCGTTCTATTTTAGTGATAAAATCACCCAAAACACAATTCCAAACCGGACATAACGGATTTTTACTTACAACACGAATTTAGTAGCAAAAAAAATACAAAATACGGGACATACTTATAACCGGAACAAAACTATGCACAAGCTACACTTACTACATCTATGAGATACGGTAACAAGCTACTATTTACCAAAAGCAAGTTCGTAAACTTCAATTCCCCCAATAAATCTTCAAGTCAAACAACGGGTTCTTTCTTTTTATCCATCTTCTTTTCTGAGAGGGGTTGACACTTAAATGGTAAGCCAACGCTTGGTGAGTTAGATAATTAAGTATTACATATCAATATCGCACATGTTTATAAACGTACATAATAAACTCTTATCAATAAAAGAGTTTAAGATATCATCTAAATGCAAACCGAGACTTACAAGAAACCGAGTAAACAATTACGTACATGATGCTAAGATCATAGAATTCCATATTCAAATTTACTATAATATAGCATACCATTGATGCTCAATACAACAAGGAAACAAGATCAATAACCAAGTATATTTTCAATGTTAGAATACCAATAAACATCAAGAACCAAGAGATCGAATCGGTAAACATAACGAGGACAGTGCATCACCCCGTCCTTCACCTTCCGGGCACATGCCAAAGTCCGAGTTAGAATCGTACATTACAGGAAACTTTGCACTGCCCGCCTTCGTCTACCGGGTATGTGCCAAGGTTCCCTACTCATTGATTTTCCTCCTTTTTGAGCAATGAGTATTCACAACCGCATAAAGTCTCACCCGTCCATCCCGGGATCTTGACTTCGCCATAAACTTCCGGCGTGCTGCACGAAGTAGTACCCGTACTATGGCGTACAATTCAAGGAACAAAACAACGAGTCCGGATCCGGAAAGCAAACCGATGTAACGAGATCATAATATGGAATAGACTCAAGAGACGGAATCAAAGAAAAGTCAAGATTGTGTGACTCAATTCAAGACCAAAAACATTCATATAAAAAAAAAAATATATATATATATATATATATATATATTCAAAACACTGTAACAATTAACTATATAACTCACCAAGCAACCGTATAATACCGAAAAGCTCCGAAATGAGCTCACAAAGCAAGTCCAAGCTACCACACCTAGAATGCTTCCAAAGCATCAAAATATATCCTAATTACCCCTGGAGTGAATGTACAAAATCTCATAAGCAACCAATATAAGAAACTCATGTTATACACATATCCTATTTGAACATTTTACCTAGATTTCTATGTACAGCTGCTGCTTGCAGAACTGTTTTGCCCATTTTAAACTCGAATTCATGACTTGATCATAAAATAAGAAATAAACTAAACTCAATTATCTAACTAAGAAAATTGGTCTCACCTAATTTGGATTTTTCTATGATTTTATACAGCTTTTCAAAGTCTGCACATTTTCAGTGCATTCTTAAGTCGAAATTCTCATTTTCATACATTTTTTTCAAACCATTTAGACTCCAAATTATTCCAACTTCTGAATTTCAACTTAATATAACATATTTGACATAAACAACCAAAATCCAACCTTTATTTTATCATTTATATTCTCTCMCAAATCATTGACTTGATCAAGTCAAAGTTCATATGATGAACTTGCATAAATCTTGATAATCTTTTGAATCTAATGATCATTTCATGCCATAAATACTAAAATGCGTTCATTTTATACACTTAAGATCAAACCCATATGAAACCCTAAATCTTTCTCAACATGCAATCCATATAACAAGAAGGTCAACCAAGAACAAATGCAAAGATGGACTATACCTTACTTGATGATCAAATCCTTCAAAGATCTTGTAATGCCTCTTTGATTTGAGTTAAATCGAGCCTATGTGTGTGAAAATCGCACCTCTAGTGTGTGTGTGAGTTCTGGACTCAAAATGACATGAAAAATGGGCCAAAAATCCAATTTCTAATGCTAAAACCCGAGTTGGGTCGGGTTGACCCGGCTGGGTACCCATTTTAACTATCAACACTTAAAATATTCATAACTTTTCGCTCGGACCTCCGTTTTCTATGAGGTTTTTCGCCTACACGTTCATAAAAAGATAATCTATAACATCCAACAAAAATATTCCCAAAAAGATCATCCAAAAAAATCAGTTTTACGTATCTATTTGACGTGAAATTTTCCCAAATCCTCTAATATATTCCTAAGAAGTATATAATTCTAAAATTTCAAATACAAACTCCCACTAAATCATAGGTTCTCTTATAAGGACATTACTAAAACATTAAGTAAAATTTTCCACTTTGACATAACATGTATCACAACTTCTCACATAATATTCTCTTTAACATAATAATTAAACATACTTAGCAAATAATTTGGGCATATTAGAAATTGGATGTTACATTTTAGACAAAAAAAAGTTATTGAAATTGTTATATGAGTTTAATTAATGCCAAATCTTAATTGTACGTTTCCTTTCATAAGGTTATAATCCAAATAAACATCATCTTACATTGCGTGATCTAAACTGATTTTGGTTGTATGACAACATGGATATCAAAATCACCAACAAAACAATCGAACATTACAGAAAGAAAAAAAGAAGTCGAAACAATGACGCCATTAAAGTCTCAAATAAATAAATAAAATTGTTGATGGTTTTGTTGATGAAAACCCGAGATTTAAATCAGAAAAATACAAAAAACCCCAACGGAATTTTGAGAATAAATCATTAAACATTTTATTTTAAAATGATTAAATTTATAAATTTTTATTTAACTTTTAAAAGTTGCTTATTTACCATATTTTATCCTCAAAAGATATTGGCTAGAAAGATTTTAAAGGAAAAATAAATTCTCAAAATAAATTTTATCATATACCCATATTTTGCCCCAATTAAACCATTTGCAGTGAACGACATCGCTTCTCCCTCGTCACTTCTCTCTGCCCTCATTGTCGTCCGTTCTCTGCATTGTTTATCGAGTAAGAGTGGATGACAATGGTTTCACGAGAGGAAACGATGATACTGGGTATGAGATTTGAATGATGTATGAATTATGAATGATAAAAATGATTATTAAGAAAACAAGCACTCACCAATAGAATCGAACACACTTGTATTACTGGGTAAGATTTTAATACATGAATACAACATCATATACAACAATTTATCTAGAAAGCACCTTCATTATCGCTCTTACCAGTTAACATTTTTAGCCTTTGTAACATTCATCCGATAAGGTAAAAAGACCTGATAGGCACGCACGTCTAGTAAATGACACCTTATATGTCATCCAAAAGTTCCTTTCGAGTTTAAGGAGGGACACGAAAGCAACGTAAAAAAAAAATCAAAAGACAACGCAAAATAAAAAATAAAAAGCATTTCAAAGCAAGATCCAATGTTTAATCCTTTTGTAAAAACATCAAATTTTCTGATACAAATTCAAATTCAAAAATGGACCTAAATTTCCATATCTCAATTGGTTTCTACCAACTATGCCTTAATTGCATACTTCCTCAAAGGGAAGTACTTGTCTTTCTTCTTCTCTCGCTCTGTCTTCAACGAAGCCTACACCATACAAGAAGGAAAATAAGCAAAATCAAAGAAAATGATTATAAAGTGTTGTAAAACGAACATGATTCAGCGGTGTACCTGATGCTTGGTTAGACGCCTGCGAATGGCTCTAGTTTTCTTGGGACGCAGATCAAGAGGCAGATACTTCTTCTTCTTGTAAGCTTCCCTAAGCATCGACTTCTGGGTCTGCGATATCACAGTCAGCACCTGTGCAATCGATGTCCTCACCACTTTACTGCAATTATTAAGATTATTACTCTTTAAATAAACATTTAGCACCACCAGCCAGACATGACAAACCAAACTAGTACATCTTCACAAATTGCAACTGGTGGCCAAACCCAAGTATTTGATGCAACTTCTTAAAACTCACAAATATGTTCTGTAACTAAGGATTTGATATCGATGAGTTGTGAAAATAGGTAAAGAATGTTAGCAAAACAAGTGCAAAAAAACTTTTAGAACACTTCAAGATATCCATTTGCAACTTAAATAAGATTTGTAGCACCTACAATGCAATCATCAACAAACTAGTTAATTCGAAGACAAACTCCTGAGCTTCATTGCATGCCTGCTTGCATTTAGATCATCAGCTACTAATACAGCTGAATGAAGGAAAAATAATTGAAAAGGCAGTCCGTTATCTAATGTTGTAAAATCCTCATGAAACCGATCACGGACCAACATTTATAGAGATAATATGTGTTGGATTGAAATTGATCTTGACAAGAAACCACAAATGGAACTATGAAGTTGATGGAGGCGATCGAGTATCCAGCAGGCTGGGTGGTGTTGATTTATGGTAGAAGTTGATGGTGACAACAAATCAACAATAGTACAGATAGGTGCTACTGACGATATTGATGCTAGTGACTATATCCTTGATATGGAGCTGGAACTGCTAATTAGTTTGGATTCAGATACAGCCGAGAATGCATAATGTACGAATAAAAAAACTAGCTTCAAATGTCCGTAATCCGAAGGACATTTAGCTTCAGTAATTATTTTCCAAGTACACAAACTCACTCGTATGAACTTTCCAATCTTATGGAATAAACCCATCCTGCTAATCGCATCTTTATAGCAGTGGTAGTGTGCGGTTTGTAGTCATTAAGAGAATATCTGGAGAACTGGGATGCCGCAAATAGTGGCACTGTCACGCTATGTACCCTGTTTGACTGCTATTTGTCCTGCACTAGCTCGTTCCACAACTCCAGTATTTTCTTGGTTTTTTCTTCACTGGCCCTCTTCTCCACAGAGTGGTGAGTACTCATTTTTTTTCTTAAAACGTTAGTGGGTTCATCATTCATAAGCAGTAGGATAGGTTCTATTCAAATTTCTTTTCAGGTCAACTGTGCTTATGGACAGTCTATTGCTTACTCGGACAAGACTTTGCTATTGTTTTAATTGTCAGTAGGTTCATCAATTTCATATTGTTGTAGTTTCTTTTTACGTTTGGCCTTAGCAAATTTTAACTTATAAACCACTTAAACATTTTTTATCAATCAACTCCTTGTTCTAACTTCTAAGTTGATGTCTTGATGTTCAAACTATACATTTTTATCCGATACATATAATATCTAAAGCTTTACACATATATAATTCTAATTACTATATAGACCGCTTTACCAACATGATGGCCACTATATCAAATCACAGTCCTACCGCTATTTCAGATGGTGACCGTTGTAACAGCATAATATAAAATTCCATCCACTGATAGATGATAAGAAGAAAAGGAATTTCATTATGATATAAAGTGGCTACCAGTGAATTCACAACGCTTGAAATCTACAAATATCAATATAATTGAATAATGAGAAACGTACAAGAGCGTAGCTAAAAAGACGACAAATTTAACACAAAATGTGCTTTTTGCACCATTTCCATCTCTAACGAAAACACTATAATTGACCAGAAAATGATAATATAAATAGTAAACACCAAATTTGATGAAACAGAATCCATTCACACTATATTTGGTGTTGGTTTCCTTGCATAACTTGATACTGCAAGTATGAGATTTAGTTTGAATTTTACTTGATACATATATCATATATTCATATCACAAAACAGATTTATATTCATTCTCTGTTTAGATTATATTCATTCTCTGGTTTTAAGAAATTTAATTATTTACATAATTTATCTCATTATAAGTTTATGATTGCTTTACAAGAATTTGAAAAACTAAATAACATATCGGATTAAAGGACACCAACATATATATTTGAATACAAGAACCCGACCAATGAAAAAGTGAAAAAAACATAATGACAAATTAAATAAAACGAAACGGAATTTCAAACATTGTAAAGTTAATAAATATGTGAGTATTATTGAAAATAAATACAATCAGAATTAAGTAAGAACATGCCAACAATTTGGTACAAGTATACGGTGTAATAGGATTTAGTGTAGGCCAAAATAGTGTAACCAATAGTGTAATGAGTTCGAGATGGTCTAATATGGCACAATACATTCCTTGAAACACTCCTATCTGTATGTATGTATATACGCATGGCGAGAAGGAAGAACTTACATCTTGGAGAGCTTGTTCGGCGCACCTCCGGTGACCTTGGCGACACGGAGAAGAGCAAGTTCGGCTTTAAGATCCTTCAACTGAGCGAACAAATCAGCCTTCGATTTGCCCCTCAGCTCATGAACTTTGATCCGAGCTGTATTTCATGTAACAATGGCAAAAATTACACAAGAAAACTAAAATCGGAATATCCATCGAGAATCCAAATGCAGAACTTACCCATTGTTTTCGTGTGATCGGAGCAGAAGCAAACTGCAACGGAGGCTACCTCTGAAACCCTAGCTCCGAAAAATACACGAAATATTAGGGTTCAGATTGGGTGGCTTTTATATATATATATATGAAGGGTCCAGCGATGTAAAATGGGCTTTGTCCATCTCATTTATATATGATTTGACCCAATCTGGCCCAGTTTAAGTTTACCCATACAAAACCGTTGGATCGTTCAAACCGGACCATTTTTGGCGGTTTAAACGGTCTGACGGTTTGGTTTGATTTGGAAAAAAGTAAAACCGGACGGTTCAGTCTGGTCTGCGGTTTGTAAAATCTTTTTTGGACGGTTTAAACCCAAAACCACAGCCAAATATATATATATATATATATATATATATAAAATTATTTATTTTAATATTAGCAAGCAACTCTTTTAACTTATGGACTATGATTCAAATATATCCCTAAACCCAACATAAAGCTAACATCTAACATAATCCAAATGGATATTTAATCTAAAACTATAAATTGTATATGTTTTTTTAAGTTTAACATTTAAAGTCCATTAGAGGCTCAAACCGTCTAAACCGGTCAGACCATACTGCCTTTTCGTGATCTGGTTTGATGGGTTTGGAGTTTGGACACTTGATGTCAAATCGCTCGGTTTGAAAATTTTATAAACCGTCATTACAATTTGGTTTGTGGTCTGAAAGGCTAAACCGCCCAAACCGAACCGCAAACACCCCTACTTTTAAGTTAAAGCGTCAAACGCCTGCATAATAGAGTTCTTATCTACACTCGAGTAAGAATTAGAGTTAAAGTGAGAAATATAAAAAATGTTCTCAACCATTTATCATCTTTGATCTCAAACCCATCAATTAATCAAGCTTGATACGAGGATTTATCTGATGTATCTTGGTGCATCTCAACATAATGTGCATTCAAGGATGAAGATCTATTATTACGCTTCTCACTTTAACTCTTCGTCACACCGGAACCCAATCTTATCTTTGAATATCCTAAACCCAAAAACAAATTTATTTAGGTAAAAAGTTGATTCCCGACAATTTCAACCAGTCCCATACGGAACCCTTCTTCAAAAACACAATTGTGAGAGGTTTTTGGCTCATTTAGCGGCCAGGATTGAATCTGAAATATGTCTTGTATTTAAGAAAAGTCGTCCTACCTTTTTACCAATAAATTTATAATACGATATTTTTCTATAATTTCCCTTTTTCTTGAAGTACAATATTTTATATAATTTCTCTTTTCTTTAAATACGATATTTTAACTTATAGTTTCCCTTTTTATTTGGAATAAAAACAATATTTCTTATTTTTGTTATTTAAAATCAACGTAATATTATTTATTCGAGATAGAAATGGTCTTAAAAACGTTATGAATATAAATCAATAATACATAAAAATATTTAAATATTTTAAAATACATATTTTATTTAGTTTATAAATAACTAGAAGGGTACCCGCACAATGCAGCGAGATACATCTCGATTTTAATGTTCTATTTCATTTTTTGTCTTTGTCGATGTTATAATACGATTTTATGTGTTTTTAAGATAATAATAATGATTTTATTTTTGAATAAAATATAAATTTAAAGATATCATAAAATTTTAAAAATATATATATATCAATGTTAATATCAAATCAACTATTTAAAAGTTTCTATCTGTATGTAATTTTTTTAATTTATTTTTAATTATAATTTAATTTTAGTTTAGTAATAAAATAATTTATTTTTGGTTTAACAATATAACATTTTATAAAGATAATAATTAAGTATTCTGCTAGAACTCAATGATTATCCTAATTATATTTTAGAATTTTTATATTCAAAATGAGATGTTTATCCAATATTTGATTATTTTTATCTATAGTTAGTTAGACGAATTCAAGTATGGAGCTTTAATAAGTTGCATTTATGCACAATTTACTTGTAATCTTAAATTCCAAGTAATATGCATCAATAAACAGTACTTCGTGCATAAAAAATCGTTTTTAAGAGTTTTTGTCAAATACTTTATAATATAGTATAGATAACATTGAAAGTTTGAATGATTAATAAACAAATATCATCATTTTCATATCTTTAAAAAAACCTTAATTATTTTTTAAAATAATTAAGTTTTTTAATTAAAAAATTATATAAAAAAACATATGTGTGTGTTTCAATTTTTTTTAACCTAGTTTTCAAGATTTTAATCACAAATATATTCACATTGAATATATTTAATAGTACTTATTATTACATATGTAAAACTATTTAATGCATGTGAACTTTGTAAAACTAACTGATAAGCAATAGAAGATTATCTTCCTGTTTTAGAACCATACAAATATATAAAACAAAATCGAGAAGGACAAAATAAAGATGTACTGTGATGCGTTGCACAAATACACTTCTACATCTTTTTCTCTTGAAATCAAGAGAAGTAACAATGACACAATGTGGATTAAGAATTCCAAAATATTGAATTGTTGTTAACTTTGGACATCCCACATTGATAAAGATATAATTCCATTTTGTTATACAAGTAACATGATACACTTATTTCATTATGATGTTTATCATTATATCTTTATGTATATGAAACTAAGGGGGTGTTTGGTTCGTATAATGGTTTCTGAAGAAATGAAATATGTCAAATGAATTGGAATGAAATGTTATCAGGTTTGACTAAGTGTTTGATTGGCAGGAATGAAATGTAATATGTCTAATGAATTGGAATTTGTTTGTTTGGTTTGCAACAGAATTGGAATGGAACGATGAAAAATGACAAAAATACCCTTTCTTTGATATTCTTAAAAAAATTGATTACAAATAATAATAAAATTAACATCTAATGGGAAAAAAAAATAGTAGTGGAAGCATAAATCAGAAATCAATAATGGAAGCTTTTTTGTTCTTCAATCATCTTACAAAAATTTGTCTTGTGTCTATACTTGCAGCATCATATCATAAAATTAAAGCAGTATAGAAACAGTAACAGTTAGAAGTAGAATAGAAGCAGAAGTAGTATAGAAGCAGTAGATGAGCAGAACCAGAATAGAAGCCGAAATTGATATCATAACATAAATCAAAGCAAAAACTTAAATCATAACATAAATCGAAGTTGGGGATATCAGAATAGGAGCATAAATCAGAAATCCTAAAAAGTAAAGGTTCATTCATGGAGAAATTAGAAATCGAAGTAGTAAATGAGAAATTGTAGCAGTAGAAGTAGATCGATGAAGAAGATGAACACATGTTCTTAACCATAAAAACTTACCTACAGTCTTCGATCGAGAAGATGAAAATAGGTTCGTAGATAAGAGGCATTCCTTTGATAGGAAGCAGTAGATGAGAATAGAAGGGTACGACTATGGTTATTAATTATAATAAGAGTATTTGTGTCATTTACACAATTTTGGATGGAATGAATTTTAATTCCATCACTTTTATGAATGAACGGTGAAATCCTCAAATGAGGGAATGTTTAGAATCCAATTCCATTTCATGGGTAACCAAACGTTTGAATGGAATTTGGTCAACGAAATTGAACATTCCAATTCTTTCAGATTCCGGCGAACCAAACGCCCCTTAAAAACCATGAGAAATGAAATGACACAATGTGGATTGAAAATCCAATATAGTGAATTATGGTTTATTTTGCCATCCCACATTAGTAAATGATGATATATTGGAACAATGGGGTGATTATATAAGGAGAATAAGGTCAAAGTTTAATTTTTATGTGATTTTTTACAATGAGGGTGGTGGTTTTTGGATTGTTGGTTTTATTTGAATACAATGACAATATGAATTTACACGATGAAAGTTATGTATATGGTTAGATGGAGGGGAAAAGATGGGTGTAGAGTTGGGGTCACAATGGGCGGTTGGATAGGTTAGGTTAGATTTTGTTCGCTTTTAATTTGAATGGACGCTCATAAAAAGACTAAGGACGAAAATAATCTTCACACACACACACACACGCATATATATATACCTTTTTGTTTGAAGAAAGATGTGTTTCACCCATTTTAGACGAAGATTCAGCTAGATGGAATTTGTCATAATCTTTTAGCTCTGAGAGATGAGCCATAAAGCATAGGTTTGCTTTATCTTCTTGTTCATTGTTAAATGAAGAAGCAAATTCTACCCAATCATTTTCCTCTGCCATCATGCCTTTATCTTTTCTGTAAGAGTTCTTGAATTTGAATTTGTCCCCTTCTTTTTTCATTTCTTGCATCTTTATAAGAGAATTTGAAGTGTGAGATGTTCTTGAAGAAAGTGAAGAGTTTGACCTTTTGTATCTGCAATCAACGACAAAATTTTCTTTCATTCCACAGTTGAAACATATATCATTAGACTTATCATGAGGAGACAAGGTTTGATTGATGAAGGATGGTCTTTTTATGAATTTCCCTTTTGACCTTCTCTAAAAGCTACCTTTTGGGAAACTTTATTGAAATTGCAACTAAGAAAACAGAATCACTAATGTCTTGCATTGATAGACCATGAGTCCCACTGTCAGAATCTTTAATGGGATCAAAGATAGATTTATCATTATGATCGTCAGAGATTTTTGTTTTTGTGTCATATGATGCATGTGACATAGATCCTCTTCTCTTAGTCTCAGAGGAAACAAAAACAATATTTGTACTTTTGGTTTCTTGAAAGTCATTTTTTCTTAGTACCTTACTTTACTCAATATTATATAAAGTTCCATAAAGAGCGATTAAAGGCATATCATGAAGATCCTTAGATGTTTTCAAACACACAATTATATTTTCCCAAATGTCAGGTAATCAATTTATAAACTTGCAAAGTACTTTAGCATTATCAAAAACTTTATCATGCACTTTAAGATCATTTAAAAGAGAATTGAACGAGTTGTAAACATCTTTGAAAGATTCGTTTTTGTGACATACAAATAGTTCATATTGCCTGATATGATTGATTCTTTTACTTTGTTTAACTTTGGAAGTCCCTTTATATAAAACTATGAGAGTGTTCCACATATCTTTTGAAGTGGAAAGATTCATGATGGAGTCAAGACGTCATCTAGAAGAGACATAACGAT